GAGTTTAGACTGGACTCTGCAGTGGAAGTCCATTGATTAAGCGTTGTCTAATACTCGGGCCGTTGGATGCCCGTAGGGGCTTCATTCAGAAAGAAATTGCGTTGCATCGGCACGTCAAACGCACACTCGAACCTTATAAACTATCTAACAACAACAAACAACTTTCCCAACAACTAAAACAACTAATTTTCCCTCTGTATTTACTCTTTTGACTATTTCTTTAATTATTAATTATTACCAGTAAATATAGATTTATAATTAGTTGCTTTTGTAAACTTTTAATTAATTTTTTAAATTCGTAACTTTCAGTAATTATTCGTTTATTTTCTATTAAGTTTTATTTTTTATCTATTTTAAACAATTGGAGAGTATTTATACCTTTAACTGGGTCAGGAGCTTTAGAGTAAACCCTTTAATTTATTTATTGCTACCATCTACGAAATCCACAATTCTGCGATTTATCACCAATTTGTTTGATTTTTATCAAAATAATTCTCGGCTGAATTTGATATTTAATTTTTATGAATTTCAAAAAAGTTGAAATAAAAGATTAATTTTTTTATTTATTAGAATTTTTCAAAAATTAATTTCAAATTTTTTCAACAATTAATCCAAATTTATAAAAGATTTTTTTCATCTTTTTGCATTAAACTAAAAATGAATAATAAACGCAGTAAAGTCTCGATAAATTTTTTGCAAAATTTTTTAAGTCAAAAAATAAATCCTCAAAAAAATTTGAAAAAAAATTTTTTATCAGTCAAAAAAATCATCCAAATTTTTGAAAAAAAAGTGACAATTTATTATTTGCATACCTCATATATTTAGACTATTATTAAAAAAATAATAATGATAAAAATGATAATAAAGGAAGTTAAGCAGTAATATAAGTTTATCGTTCAATCATGCTGCAACGAATGTCATGGGCCTTAAAAGTTGCGGAAATAAACCCGGTGACAAAGAAAGGCCAGACGTGTGTGTATACATGTGCCGAGTCATATTCCACCCCGACGCGTTTAATTACCGTCCTGGTAAGGGCCCCACTGCGAATTGAGCCGTAAAACCCGGACGATGGTGAACGTGCATTCGCCGGCTGGTTTACGACCGCTCGAAACTTTCGACTCCCCATCTATCCAGCTTCGTGCTATATAATATTATACATACAGATATATACTCCCACACCGACATGCAGTGGGTGCCGTATTTTACGTCGTCATCACGCTGATACCCGTTTTGTTACGGCGGCTATATACCGAGCTATTATTACTAGACACCTATACAAAGGTATGGACGTTAAATACACTACCGATATCTGCAACGCTGTTTTATCGGTATCGGGGCATACAGGCGCACTCTTTACACCTTTCAACTCACTCACTCCAGAGTCTTAACAACAAATATTGTTATCTTCGCTTTTGCGCCGATAGATTGCGTGTCAGGCTATCGATTATTTATCAATTACACTCATCCGCTCTAAGTGCCAATTTATCGGCTGTAAAAAGTTAATTTTTTAAGATTAATTTATTAATAATTTTTTATGACTTGGAAAAATTTCCCCGTGTTAATTTTTGTTTTTTTGACTAAAAATTTTTATTAGTCACAAAAAATTAACAAAAGCGTTTATATAAATTAATTTAGTAACTTATTTTTTTTTTTTAAGTATCAAAATTGAATTTTTGAATAATTTTGCAGGTCAAAAATTTTAGCAAAGATGCTGATAAATATAATATTAAATAATTATAATTTTCTTAACTAAAAAATTTCTATTTCGTGCGTCAAACAACGCTCTAAATAATTTTAATGAAAAAAATCAATGACGTCATGATTTTAATTTTTAAATCCATCTGACTTTTATTAAAAATGAGATGGACAAGTGTCCTACTATCGCTAAAAATAATAACTTTAATCGCTTAAATTAATGTATTGATCGAATTTTATATTTTATAAAATAAAAATAATAATAATAAATAAAAGGATAATATTTGGGATTAAATTTAAAAGGACAATAGCGTGGGTGGCTCAGGTGCGCGAGAAGATCGTCAACTAAAGCCGTTTTCCCCTCGTACCTTTATGTGTTTTATGAAACCCAGACATTTATCTGAGACTATAAACAAGGTAGTTGGGAAAAAATCTAAAATCCAATTCCATCTCGAGTTTATTTTTAAATCAAACTACTTTAGCGAATACACCTTTGTCGGGTGAAAATAAAAATTATGAAAAAGTAAAAAACATAAATAGAAAAAAATGTGTATTTTCATTTATCGGTTGGTTTATTTTCAAGCATGCCTTTTATTCCTTATCCTCGCTGGCAACCCGATACCAATATTCTCAGTTTGACTCGCCGATAACTCCAACCGTGTCACTGATAGATTTTTATACTTATGTCTGACTAGTTGACGACCGCTGTTGCTCGACCCGACATTTTCATTCCAACACATCCGAATAAACTTGATAATTTTAAATATAGTTCTGCAATTGAGTTCGGTTCAAACTTTTATGTTAAAATAATTTTAAAATTCCCAGGTTAACTTTTAATTCTTACCTCAGTTTTGCAAAAAAAAAAAATTATTCCTTGTAAAATAATTGACTTGAATTTACTTTACAAAATTATGGTTAAAATTTTTATTTATAATTTTTTTTTTACAATTAATTTAAAATTTTGACATAAAAAAGTGAATTCACAAAAATTATTTTTTAATTTATATTAATACAAAATACATGTCTTGAAATATAAAAATATTTTAATCAGAATTAAATTATTACGATTAACAAGGACCAAAAACAATTTTGAGTTGCAAATGAAAGGTTATTCTGAATTTAAACATGAATTTGCGAGTGGCAGACGTCGCCGTATCACTTGCTACCTATTCGTATTCGAGCTCGTATTATATTATTATACATTCGTTTAGTTATATTATGAGAAGAGTCTGAAGTAACAGCCATTCGTAACTGTTGAGTAGCTGTAGCAGTAGCATCCGTTACTCGCATCAAGTTCGCCTGGAGGCCGCGTCACAAACTTTATAAAAGTTAGACGTTTTTAAATTAAATTTTCTAAGTATTCGGACAATTGAATCTGTTGTCGTTGTCGCTGACAATTGTCTTCACTCTATTTATTACAGTTACTAGTAAATTAAGATTACAGCTTTTATTCTTACTCTTACTTCTACAAATTCAAACAAAAAATTCTGGTAATTTGTTATCCTTTATTAATTATACTGACAAATGTCAAGTAAATTTAAAAAAATTAACAATTATAATTTAAAGTTAAAATTGCGATGTTAGTTACAAAAAAAATACTGAATTTTAAATGCAACGGCGTCAGATTAACATTTGCATACACATTGACAAATACACATACAAATTTGCTCAATATTTGATCATACATACATTTAATGATATTCTAGTGTACAAAATTACTTAGTTTAAAATCCATAAAATTATTAACCTCGTTCGGGATCGAACCCGGTTCTCACTAGTCCTCCAAAACCTGCACTCGCACCTTAACCACTCAGCGACAGTCACGACTTTATATTTTTAATTTACAAGAGATATAAATAAGATCAATGCTCTTTATATTTTGGCTTACAAACTAAAAATTACAATGGCAAATAGTAATTTATCTACCTAAGTACCAGTTTATCTTAATGACCTATTTAAATTTTTATTACTCAAATAAAATTACACATTTTATCCATTATTTTCCCAAACATTTCAGTTATTTTTGAAAACATTTTATATTACTTGTAAAAATTGATACAGTATAATTAATATTCATCGAAATTAAAATATTTTCGCAACATTTAGTAAAATTTATGAAATAAATCGAAATTTAAAATCGGTTCGAATAAAATTAAATAAATAATCAAAAAATTTCAAAAGTGATTATATTCGACTTTTTTTATAAATTGTGTTAATTTTCAAAATATTGAATTTAGGAAAATTCTATAAAATATTAAATTTCTAAAGAATAAAATTCTCTTTCTAATGAACCTACAATTACTTATTTTCTAAAATTTTTCTTCTATAACAATTGCTAAGACTATTTTAAAAAATTTTATTTTTTAAGGCTTCAAAAATTGTTTTGATTTACATTTAAAAATATTAAATATTTATAATAAACAACAATGAATAATTAACATTACAAAAATCTTAATAAAATTTATTTATTAATATTAATTTCAACTAAAAATTATAATTCTTTCATTTTAGCTAGCCTTTTAATTTGGAATTATATCCCCAAGATATTTTGAACTCTATTTATTTTTGTTTGTGCAATTGTATTTGTAACTTAAAATGAGAACAGCATTTTTACTAGACAGTAACTTTTAAGTTACCGTCGTAAAAAAATGATTAAAGTTTCAATCTATTTAAAAATATTTTGATTAAAAATTACTCTGTTGCATAAATATTCTAACTTTAACATCAATAATGATTATTATAATTTTTTTTTTGTCATTATAACTAAATTTTTTCGTTGTATTCTCAACATTCTTTAAAAATTTTTGAATCCCTCTTAATAAGACAAAACACATTGGCTTTTTTTTATTTTAATTTGTAAGTTTGTTCTGTTGATAACTTTCTTTTATCCTTTATATTTTCTCCTCGTCGCAAAAGCATTTCTCCGAGCGTCTCAATGGCTGTCGCATACGGCTTCGCTAAAATTCCATCATGCTTAGTTTCTCATAAAAAAAAAAAAAAAAAAAAAAAACATCCAACCGTTCCCCTACTTATGTCTATCTATATATTTAAACACCTATCGGAAATTTTCAGCGTACTCGTGTAGTCAGGGTATGTACCTGCTATTCTTTTCTTCCGACGTCTCTCTCACAAGAAAAATACGACGGTGAACAAAAATAGTTACGTTTTATTTTTTCTTTAACTCAAAGAAAATCTGAGAGATTCCAATTGGAGTTTCAAAAAAGTCGAGTACAAGAAATAGTGAATTAGTTTGTTTTTAATGTAAGAAAGTCGAACTTTAGCTTCTTGGTGAGGAAATCTAACTTTCACTTCTTGGCGAATATGTTCTCCAAAAGCTCCTTGGTGATGACTCGATGAGGCCGCGTGGGACTTTCAGTGGGCCTCTGGTAGAGTCTCCCGTTAATTGCGTACAATTTGGGACTCAGCTCGCACCTGACGTTGAACCACCAGTCGCAGACCAGCACTGCTTGACTGAATTGAGTCCCATTGGGACACAAAAATGTTGCCTGTCGGCCGTCAATGTCGCAGTAGTGCCAGGCTTGACAGCGTGTTTCCACGTCCGCGAAAAATCCAGGGTACTCCTGGTCGTCACAGTAGAAGTTTGTGTAAGGAACTTTTCCTAAGACTGGAAAGTCCGTTCCGGGTCTACCTGAAATTAAATTATAATTAGTGATGTTAATTATTCATTTTTTTTTATTATAAATATTTAATATGTATTTTTAAAAGTAAATCAAAACAATTTTTGAAGCCTTAAAAAATAAAATTTTTTTAAATAGTTTTAGCAATTGTTGGTAAAAAAATTTCGGAAAAAAAAGTAATTGTAGGTTCATTAGAAGAAGAATTTAATTCTCTAGAAATTTAATATTTTATAAAATTTTCCTAAATTCAATATAATCACTTAAGAAATTTTTTGATTATTACATATTCAATTATCGCAATTGTAAGTGAAATTATTGAATAATTACTTTGATGATAAAATCTTAAGAAACAGAATTTAATTCTTTACAAATTTAGTATATTATAAAATTTTTTTGAATTCAATGTTTTGCAATTTATCTTCATGAGAAAAAAAAATGATAAGAAAAACTTTCTAAAGAAATTATATTTTTTATACTTTATATAAATTATTATTTCTTTTTTTTTGCGCTCATTCAAAATCACTTACATCAAATGCTAATAAAACTCTTGACGTAAACGCCCTGGTATTAACAGTATAATTGTTTTTAATTCCTGTTTACTTAACGAAGCTGCAAATATCGACTGATGTGTAAACACACTCTAGTATTTCTCTTTACTAAACATTCATTAAGACGACTTAACTAAAACAAACCTTGTTATCACCACCAGTGTAATTAGTATATAATTTATATATCGAACATAAAACTGAGACTTGAGAATTATAAATAAAGTAGAACGATAATTGGACGATTTACACAAAAGGTAAAGCTATTTATAATAAAGCTGTACGGAATATGATGATAATGACGGAGATAAGAGAGGAAAGTAAGAAAGGATGTGGTTAAGACAGCGGCACTTTGAAGGATCTCTTAGCTGCATCAAGTGTATTATCTATCTAGGATCTAAGTGAAGATGAAGCAAAAGCTTCCTATCGTGCTCCGTCTTGTATTAAATGTTGGAATTAAAGCGAACAAGACGATGTACTGGTTGGTGTCTTTGTATAGCACCTTGACAACTACAGCACTCATACACCTTCGTATATAATATATAACATATATGAGTTTATATTGGCTGGTGTATAGAGTACGGCTGTATTGCGTCATATCAGAGAGTCATCGCTTCTTGTTGTGGAGAGAGCCTTTTCATCACACACGGGCGCACGTAGATTCTCTTATAACTTTACGCCAACTTGGAATTAGCTGGCGTGTTATTCCGTCGCTGCGTAAGTCGACAGCTAATTACATATCTAAACTTCCAAAGGGTTAATCAGCCTAGATGTTTACCGGTAACATTAATTTAGCCTTCCACCTGCTCTAGATATGCACTTAATCTATTCATATTCACATTATACATTTTCGATTTACACATTACAATCTATTTTGGAGAGATTATTATTATACTTTTTTTTGAGAAGATTTACGATAACAATTATAAAAATTTTTTAATGACTTTTTAAGATTCTAGTGTTAAAAAAAAAAATCATTTCTAAAACATTTCTACGCTAAAAATCAAGCGATTTCTTGAAGTAAAATTGTTTCTATTTATTTTCTATCACACTTGTAGAACAATATTTACACAAAAATGTCATGGAAAAACCCTTAGTTTCAACACTTATGACATTTTTAAAATACATTTTGCTTTTTAAATAAATGAAAAAAATTATTCCGTGGACGTCCGCCTGTCAAATGTATATATGAAAACCGGCGTGGTCACGATAACTGCCAAAAAACTTAACTGATCAAGTCCATTTTTTTTTATATGCTTCAGTATTATTTAAAACTAAGTCTTTTCGAAGATCATCGCCTAATTCAATGTAATTTATTTATAATTAGTACAGCGATAAAAAAATTAACTTGACTCGAGAGCCAAAATCGAGAGAATAAATTCTTGCACGGAAAAAAGAAAACAGGAATAATTACAGTATAAAATGTAAAATTGGTACCGTCATAATCAAAACTAGAAAAATTACAGTTTGAAATAACATTTTTCTAAATTCAATTTTTTAATTTAATTTTCAGAGCTTTCAATGTAAATATTTAGTCAAACAGTTTTAAAAAATTTCAATTTTTAACTGTCTCATTTTATTTAAAATATTTTTTAATATCCCACTTTGCTGGTCACTATCATTAAAAACCCATGAAAGCCATGATAATCTAACGTTGATTATTTAATAACGAAAAATATTGAAGATATTCTAAAAAACAGATACAAAATAAATAATTTTTCCTCATTTAATCTAAGTTGTGTCTACATTTATAAATGGTTGATTTTCTTGAGGTTTAAATCGTCTACCCGATACAACTCGAGTTCACAATGATAAAACATTATACAACTTGAAACAAACGAAATAACGTAAGAATGAACGAAACAAAACTAAATAAAATAAAGAGAAAAAAATAAATAAAATGATGTTATCTCGGTGTTTGAAAAACCCGGTAAAATATTCTTTTCTTTTCCTCGAGCCCCTGCTCCCTACTCCACCTTGGTCTACTTCTTATTCTTGAATTCGTAGAGACGCCCCAAGCCGGAATAAATGAGTAAACGTTCGTAAATTAGCGCTCGATTTCTCCAGGATTTATACGCACATATATATCTATATTCCTTTTCTCTTGCATTTTCATTTTATACGTTTCTTCCACTTGAACCTCAGTACCTTGCTTTACTCGTTTTCATCATTCAGTTTTCTTTTTTTCTCTTTCATCTCCGTCTCCCTCAGTTTTGTTCCTTTTTTTTTCTTCTGCTCTATTTTTTTCAAACTATTTTTTCCAGCATTATTATTTTTATTTTACCTTTTTTTATTCACTTACTCTGAGAACTCAGCTCTTTTCACGCGGACTCTTTTGCTCACAAGCTCCCTAACGAGTCTAACAAGTTCCAATGGTAACAAACCCCCTCATATATATAAATATATTTATACATTATATATATATATATATATATATATATATATATAGACAATCATTTATCTTCAATTTTTTTTCGTTATTTCAACGTTAGTTTTGTATTCTGACCATAATTATCGCAGTTAGTAAAATACATCCGTGTTTATATTTAAAATAAAAAAGTACATTATATCTAAATTTGTCTTTCTTCACAAGACATTTTCAAAATTATAAAAAATTGCAATTAAATTTTTTATCTCACTGTTATTAATTTTAATAAAGAAATAATGACTCAACTCTTACAACTTCGGTCAATTTATTTTTAAAATTAATTATAAGCTCTTTGACCTTTAAGCTTTAAACATGTCAATCATCGATCTTTGAACGCTCTACATCCGAGAATGTACGAAGTTAATTAAATTACACTCTAATTTAGAGTATAATTTTTTTACATTAAACGAATTTTATTTTTGTAATTTAATACTTCAAAATCATAAAAGGATACCCTAACTTCGAATGCCATCTTGTCGCGCGTTGTCACCATTTTATCAAATCGTATTTTTTCAATTCCACGCTTTCTTTTTATATTTATCGATTGAATAAAATGGAAAAAAAAATTACTATAACATTTTTACAACATCCAGATCTATTTCATAAAAAAAATTCTTTATTATTTAGTTTATTGAAAGGCTATATATTGTCATAATAATTATTTAAAAATTTCGTAAACTGAAATGGATTTGAAAAATAGATAGTTCAAAATTTTTAAACTTTAATTGAATAAAAGTGAACCAATTGCACTATAATTATCACCATAAAACATTTTGGAAGAAGCGAAGAAAGTGAATTTCCCAAATAGAGATTGGTTTTGTCGATATAATAGTTGGCGGTGAAATTTGACACAACCAAAGTATGAATGCCTGTGGAATTGTCGTGGTGGCATTTTCCCCCGAGTATTTCGTATGGATATTGTGTGGCAAGACGAGTTCTCAACAGTGTCGTAGTTGGTTATTTTACCTGCTCGGTGGCACTCTACGTGACAGAGCCATCCAAGGATAGGAGACGAGACGAGACGAGACGAGCTGAAGAACCCAAGAGAAGAGAAGAGGAGAGAAGGCTCTGGAATAGTGGAGATACAAGGCAGTATTATACCCCTATAGTCTGCTCTGTCATTATATATTGTATATCTATGTACAGGAGTTCCGTACTATATAGAGTACTGGATAGTGAGCAAGACGAACAAGACTTTGGGGATGTATAGAGATATAACGTGTGCATGGACGCATCGTCGTGGCGCGAAACTATGCTTGTCATCTGACGAACGGAGACTACCAGAAGACTATATAGTATATACTGAGTCTATGTCTGGTTTATGGTGTTGTAGTGTAGAGTAGAGGTTTGGCAACTATTACGGGAAATACACGGTTGTCACACTACTGTTATGTACTGCACCAACAAAGTAATTTATGCAAGCGGCTTCGTGCTTTTCTCACTCAACTCTCCTTTAATGATGCTGATACCCGGCCAAGAAGCTTTTCTTGTGATCCGAAGAACTTTGCTATTCTGATCACGCGGATTTTGTTGTTATTAATCTAAATTAAAAACACTTTATTTTATTTTGTTTTAGTTTTTAGTCGCGACATTTTTTTTTAATACAATTTTTTTTAACTACAAAAAAAACAGAAAGTAATTATTTTTCACATGGTCTAATCCAACCATAGTCAAATTGAAAAAAAAATTGGCTCTTGAAATTCAATTGACATTCTAATTATTTTATTTAAAAGTACAAAATTTTTACCTTAAAAAAAATTGAAATGAAAAAACTTAATTTTTGACAGCTCAAAATTTTTAAAAATCATGAGAACCTAGAAAAATTTTTTATCAAATTAATTTTTCAAAAGAACTTTTAAAAAATAATTAATTAAAATATTTTCGTAGAAAAATTGTTTAAATTGATCAATTTTTATTGTTATCATGATTTAATAAAATTTTCGCCTTGTTTTCTGTTTAATATTGAACTTCTACTATTAAATAGGAGTTTATCTTCAAAATGGTGCACGGAAAAAAGTTAACTGTAATAAATAATAGTCGATTTATAATAAGTAATGATCAACTGTTTGAAAATACTATTTCAAACCGTAATATAAAAAATATAAACTACAGTTACTAAATTTTCTATATATAAGCAACGTCAATATTTACACAGTACAAATGGTAAATTTTAAACGCAACGCTAAAAATCAAACTAAAATTATTGATTTGCTTGGACTGGTAAAATATATATTTTAAGAGTGGAATTTTTACTGTTTCAAATGGTAAATTCTTCGAGTGTGAAACCACCTTCCCTTTCTCCTCATAGTATAGACTATATATTGAAACGACAATTTTTACTGTTCGAAACTGTAATTTTTTAAGATGATAGAGTCGTTATTTACTGTGGTTACAGCTTCTAATCACATTTTCGATATTAAATTATAAATTGTGGCTTATACACTTTCTACATAAATTTTTGTAATATTTACATTTAAAACTATAAAAATTAACCGGAATCCGAGTGAATTTTACAGTTTATTTTTTTCTGTGTGGAATTTTATCACTGACATCGGTAACAAGATTCCAAAAATGACGCTTAGTAATACAACAAAGAAGAAAAAGAAAACAAAAGTATAAAAAGAAAACAAAAGTATAAAAAGAATAGAAAGTATAAATATTAGCAATGTCTGGGGTATAGTTATAGGGTATAATTATAAATTTATAATAAAAAGCAAATTTAAGATCTCATTGTAAAATGTACAACGCAAAGAGAGATGAGCATACAGAGCAGTACACTGTGTATGTATATAGACTCAGAAGGTATCTTGCATGAAATCTATCCAAGCTATTTGTAAAATTAAATGAAGGACGAAGCCCGAGCTGGTTCATTGCTTGGGGGCTATGCACTCCTCCATTTTCTCCATCTCGTTCTTTAGTACCGCTAGGTATACATATACGTTTTCCTATAACTATCGTCATAAAGTCAACTAAGCGGACGAGTTGGGTTTTCCAATGTAGTCCTTACTCATACCTTCTACCTACAATGCATTCTGCTCGTCTCGTTCAAGATATGACTGCCGAGACGAGACGATTCGCAGTACTGAGTCTTCTTT